TTATGTCCACCGAATGGTGGGCAGTGGGGCCCCTCACATAGAATCCTATTACTTTATGCCAGAAAACTCAGGCAGCACAGCCTTCTGGATGGAAAAAATATACAGGGCAACAGGTCCACTGTCTTGGCCCCGGGGCCCTGTGTTCCCAGGGGTGCTCCCACTGCACACACACAGGCATTTGCAGTCAGCCTGCCTGCCAGCTTGCCTGATGTCAGCATGCACACCTCATGTGCTCACACATGCGCTGGCACAAAAATTTGTGCGTGTCCGGCCCCTTCATGGGGAATGTTGTGGGGGCTGGAACACCTAAGGCCCCAGGCACCCGGTGCCTATGCAAGGCAACCGAGAACAAGGGGCTTGCAGAGAATACCACAACCTTGGTGCTAAATATGTACAGCCACATTGACAATGGCTTCTGTCTTCATATTTTAATTAGTATGGTGACGCCGAACTAAATGCCTGCTTTTGATAACAATTCTTTGCAACGCAAGTGTCCTGTTCTGCATCCCACACATTCTCCCAAAGTTTTGAAAACTGGGCAAATTGCCCACCAGTCCAGCTTAATCACCTGCTGTGATGGGCTCCAAACTATCCTAATAGTTGAAATGTCACAATGGCACCCATCATCGGCCACAGGAAGCTCTTTGCAGCAAGTGTGCTTGCTTCTTTAAGGCACACCTGGACAAAGGGTGGGTTGCATTTTTGAGATGTTTCTGAGAGAGCTACAAGATGAGTCAGAGAGGCCCTGCTTGCAGAATATTTTGCATGGAAACCTTTGCTGTTTAGTGTGTGTTTCTCACCCCTCCACCCACACCCCCAACACACCCCACCCACACTCCAGAGAAGCAGTTTTTTTCCTGCCATGGAGCTGACACAATATTAAAAGAAAGAGCCTGACCTGTTGATATTTTGCCCAACCTGTACCTGTATAAGGCAAAGGAGCTTGGCCTGAGAAGGAATGGCACTCCTACATTCAGTGTCTCAAGTACTTGTAGTCCACACTGAGCCCACCTCAGTCACTTCCCCTTTTGCATGGCCCATGGAAATAGCTTGCGTTATGTGTCTAGTGTGCATTGGGTTGCCTGCATAGCTCAAGATGCAATGTTGGCAACTGGGTGAGCCCATAGCATCATCATAACTTATTCGGGAGGTGATCTCCTTTTTAGCATTAGTGCTGAAACAGCTCCTTTTTGGCTGGGGGGGGTGTACAAACAAGGGGAGAAAGTCATTTGGAAACCCAGATACAAATCCAGAGTTCAGGCCAGATCAGGGGACCCATGACTGCTTTTCCTTCAAAATAAAAGTGGTGGTGTTAAGCATACTTTTTAAAAAAAGAGTGCTCAATATTAATACTATATTAAGCACACATTTAAGAAGCATCCGTGATTCTACCATTTTTATTTTGAAGGTGAAGTGGTTAATCTCCAGAAAATCTTGCAGCAGCTGAAATCTGGAATTCTTGAATTTATTAGCTCTGTTTCCTCTAAACTGTGATGTGTGAGAAGTGTCTGTGGTTCTGGCAAGGGAAATGTGTCTTACATGTGCTCTTCGCTGTAAAGGTTCAGTCCTGACACTGAAAAGGAGATGCCATGTCTCAGCTCTGGTGACTCCTTCTGGCCCATATCTGGCGACCAAGCTGCCCAACCAACAGCAGATGACATATTTCATTAAAACTAAGGGATATGTTAGGGTGTCACTTGTATTAGCTATGGCAAAGGTAGCGGGGATTGATTCAGCTTGCATTTAAATTGTAGTTCACTACACAGATTTTGCTGTGGGAAGAGACTTGACTTTAAGCAATGTTGCTTTCTCCGATTCATTTGCAACACTCACTTCTCAAAGCAGGGCCAAAATAGATACTTAATTTCAGGGCATGCACGCGGAGTACCAGGCAAATGGGACTTCACATTAACAATGTAGTCCCTGAGGACACAGTGAAACAACAAAAAGCTGTAGAAATATTTTGGAGGGGCAGGATCTCTCTCTTGGGATCTGAAGTAGGGTAGTTTCCACTGCACATGCCAATTGCCTTCATGTATTCTTCATCTTGATTATTTGTAGGTAAAGCAAATATTGCAGAAATGGCACCAGTTTCCAGTGCTCTCTCCCCTCCCAAGGAAATCAAACTTGGGCCATGCTGCCATCTCACTGCGAGGAGGAGTGAGCAACAACTGTTTCTTTGACCACCCCAAATTATACCTCTGTGCCAAATGCGGGGAGAAAAACAGATGAGATCACATATTGTGAAAGAGCTAAAAGCTTGATTTGGAGTCTGTCTGGTGTTGCTGGTATGTTGATGATACCCAGCTCTTTTTCTCCTTTTCGGCACGTTCAGAGGAGGATGTGGAAGGGCTGAATTGGTGCCTAGGTTCAGTTAGGGCCTCGATGAGGGCTAGTAAACTCATGTTCAATCCAGAAAAGATGGAGGTGTTGTCAGTGAATGATTTGTCTGATAGGGGATGTGGCGATTCTGAACAGAGTTGGTCTCCCCTTGGTGGGCCAGACTTGCTGTTAGATCCAGTTTTTACCATAAAAGGCCCCAATGGCACCTGTAATATGAAGTACTATTCAGCAGCTGAGGCTGGTATTCCAGTTGTTGCCATCCCTGGGCAGAGGTATCTTGTTGCTAATGGCAACAGGTGTTGCTCTTTTTGGAGCCCATGGGGCAGGGACATACTCTATTGCTCCTGAGGGACTTCAGGGGCTAGGATCTCAGTCCGTTTTCTCAAAATACTTACCAAAGAGAGCGGGGTCCAACATGAAGCATAGTCTCAACAAGGCAAAGTGAGTAGCACAGAGTGCAGGCAGGGGAATCAGGAGCTAAAGACATACGTTATTTCCAGCAACCAGGAGACTGGACTTTATACAATGCATGAATATGTACCGGTACTTTCAGTTTCAACACACCTTCTGCTTGGTTTCTGCTAGTAAAGCCAGATGTGCACGTGTTTAAGGAGCAGAGGAGCATGTGAAGCAGATGCTCTCCCACTGAACTACAGCTGTTCGCCATCACCAAAGAGGTGAGGTAGCTCATATTTGTATAGCGCTGTGCATGGAAGCCCAGCGACAAAGGTATGAACAGAAAGAGCTCAGGGAAAGCAAAAGTTTGTTTTGCGTACAGAGAGCTATACAGTGGTACCTCGGGTTACATACACTTCAGGTTACATACGCTCCAGGTTACAGACTCTGCTAACCCAGAAATAGTGCTTCAGGTTAAGAACTTTGCTTCAGGATGAGAACAGAAATCGTGCTCTGGCGGTGCGGCAGCAGCAGGAGGCCCCATTAACTAAAGTGGTGCTTCAGGTAAAGAACAGTTTCAGGTTAAGTACAGACCTCCGGAACGAATTGAGTACTTATCTTGAGGTACCACTGTAATTCTATTATTCTATCCACAAAACATACACTTATTACAAACATTGCAAATAAATCTTTAATGCCAGAAAATGGAAAGATAATCATAAATCTAATGAATTCAATTTGATAAGGAAATTTCAGGAGCAATTAGGTATAAATAAAGTTGGCTGTAATGATAGAAGTATAGAAGTATTAGATGGTTCAAAGTTGGTTAAATAACATATTAAGAAGATATTAGGAATTTCAGGGGAGGGAGTTGATTTTAGGTATATATGATTAAACAGCTTCCCCAAGATGGTGGTCTGGGTTGTAGTCAGCAAGACTTGACTCCTGTAGTGTAGCCTTCCTCAAACTAGTATAAACAGGGTAGCTACTTGAAACAGCTCCAAAAAATAGGAACTTCACCCCCCAAGTAAAAGGATAATATTTGTTTCAGATTTATATATGCTAATTATATGAGGAAGGAAGGTTATTGGTTTGTTTTTGTTTTGTTATGTATTTTGTGTTTCCATTTTGCATTTCTATGTTGGGAACTACCCTGCAGCCTTCAGATGTAGGGCAGTATACAAATTTATAAAATAAATAAATAAATAAATACATACATACATACATACATACATACATACTGGCGCCGTCCTGACATTTTGTGTGTCTGGATCTCATAGCAGCTGTAGTCCCCAAAATGTCAGGAGAGCACCAGGTTGGAAAAGCTTGCTATACGAGTATATTTGAGCTCTGCAAGTCACATACCTACTGCAAGCCACATACCCCACCTTTATGCCCAAGAGTAATTGAGGAAAGATAGGGCAGTGCAGACTCCCTTGTTCTTTTACTCATGAGAAGACTTTGCTAGAAATAGCATCCTAACCATTATTAAATACACAGACACTGGGTCTGATGAATAGATTGTTTTTCCAATAATTGAACAGAAACAAGAGGCAATCTAAAAAGACTCCTGTCCTAAAACATTTCTCTAATAATATTGGCAGGCGGCAGCCACGACCGATTGTTCCCTCATCTTAGTTCACTCCCACCACAAACAAATAAAATCCTCTTAGTCCTCAGGCTGGCCTGCTCCCATTCCTGCCTCATGATTTACAGGAATTCTCATTTTTTGGAGAATTAATCCTTAATTTTTAACTAACTACTGCCTGCAGCCAACCAATGAGATATAAATAAACCCCTTTTCCCCTCCCCCATGATCCACTCAGAAAGTAGATAAGGTATGTCACAACAGTTGGGCCATATCGCTTGAAGAATTCCCCACAGAGAAGGTAATTTCTTGAACTCTTTCTTTTCTACTTGAGAAGAGAAGTACTTCTGTCCTCGGCCTTCCCCTCCTTTGACAGTTTTCTTATTTCACCACATCTTCTAATGATTTCCTCTCAAGCCAGGGAAACTAGGGAACTGGAATTCCCCTGAAGTCCGTGAATCTAATGTTTTCTTTAGGCACGTGATCCGAGATTGCGAAAAATGGGAGAGAGGAGCCTGCAAGCAGCCAGAGAAGGGGGGCAAGGAGAGGAAGCAGCTGACTGGAGCAGATATTCTTCAGAAATTTCTCCAGTGAGGAACTGTGTTAGTCCCATGCAGGGAGCAAGTGCATTCATCTTCTTTGGGGATTAAATTCAAGTGTCTTTCTTTGGCAGGATTTTTGCCACCATGAAGATCTGGCTGATCCTCCTAGGCCTGGCCGCAACTCTGATACCAAGCTTCTCACAGGTGAGTAGCAGAGGTGTGAGCAACACAGAAAGGGATCAGACTAGATGACATCTTAGGTTACCTTCCAGTCAGGGCCAGCCCTGCTCCCTAATATTAGGCAGAGTGGTTTGGAGTGCCATGAAAAGCAGGAGAGGGCTTATTTATTTAACAACTTATTAGTGCATTTTTGATGCCAGGAAAGGGAGGGCTCCTTGTGGGATGTTCTGCCTCGGGTGCCAAAACAACTTGCCCAGTCTTGGGTAGTTATTTATGCAGCTTGACTCGGGGAGGAGAGGAGGCAACATTCGTTGTTCGGTTTCAAGCAGCCAAATATCTTCAGCTGGCCTTGTTTCCAGCTCTGCTGTTCTGTTATTACATACCCCTCCCCAGCTTCAGAAAGATCCCTACAAAAGACAACAGCAAGCCAGAAAGAGGCAATGGCTGTGTTATTTATTTTAATTTATTTATTGAATTTATATACCATCCTATTCCCGGAGGTCTCAGGGCAGTTCACAGAACAAAATCAGAATGTAAAACCACAAAATATATAATCAAAATAAAAACAACAGCCCAATAACCCCCCCAAAAACACCCCATGTTTTAAAAGGGTATAGAATGCCCACTTTGGGCTCTAATCCTGCCCACTGTCAGCTTCAGTCCCACCCATCACGGACATGTAAAAACCCCAGACAGTTTACTCTCTGAGGAAATGTGGCCCTTGGTAAAATATTGTCCACCCCTGTCCTAAATGATCCACAGCATGCTTATTTGAAAGTTCATTCCACTCAAAGTGCAGAGGACTTGCTTTAGAGAAAATATGTTCAGGAAGAGGAGGGTAATGGGAAGTACTGTTAGTTCTCCTTTAGAAATCTAATGTGCAGGACAAAGCTGCACCTTTGAAATGCACTCTGCCCAGCCCTTGCCTCCCCCACCTGCCTGGCCTGCACTACTTTGTTTTGGTTATAGTCCTTCTACTGGTTGCAGAGGGCTTCTGACCTGGACACATATCAGTCTCAAGGAGCGCTGGAGTCATGCCAAGATGCAGACTGGAAGATTCCTGGTTCACACCTTACCTAACATTACCACTGTTACTTCCTGGTTTTCAAGTTGCATTTGGAACAACTAACTCTCAAAACCTATAGCCTGTTGTGGGAATCTGTCGCTGCTACAGGTGTGTCCAGCAGGGCCCCAGGACAGTTTAGGATCCACATTCAGATTGCAGTGCTGAACCATCTGTCAGCAGGCTCCTCCTTGTCCTGCTTATTTTAACACTTGGGATGCTGAAGCCAATGAGAGCAGCAAAGCTATGGGAGTCTTTCAGTGGCTTCTGGAGAACCGGTGGTGCTCCCTGTTCCCAGAGTTTATGGTGCCTTTATGCCTCTTGAAAGGGCACTCCAAACTCAATAAAAATCAACACGCACATGCTCAGGTCTGGAGTTATTTTTAAAGCCGTATTATTTTAAGGCTCCATTGACAACCTCAGTGCTGCAACGAGGAGGAACGTATGTGAAGGAAATACAAGGCAGCCTGGCTAGTGGAACACCAAGTGGACAGCACCTGCCTTCCCAAGATCCTTCTCCTTTTAAGTAGGAGGCAAGGAGAACTGGGCTCTGTTGCCTGGGCAGGAAAATAAGCCCAAGATTCATATTTTGCTTTCTTTTGAGGCAGTGGGGAATGGAGGGCATTGAGGGTTAATTAGAGAGGGGCTCCTCTAGGGCAGAATTGGGGTCAGAAATTAATTGCAAATTAATCAACTGAAGGGTCATCAGGGTGGGTAATTGATGGTAAGTAAATTCACTGAAGGGGCATTGATTTGAATTGGAAGTTAGCTCACCTGCCTTCAGTGGTGTGTCCAATGTTATGCTGAGGCAGGAAAATGTGTGGCCAGAGGAGTGTTTGGGTACTCAGATCTCATTTTTTTTGCATTGTAGTCTCTCGGGAAGGTTACTTGTCTCCAAGCACCATCAGTGCTTCTGTGACCTGGGTGTCCCCTTGCTGCAGAAAAATGTAGGATTCAAGAGTGGTTTGGTGTTTTGGGGTCTCTGACCCAACCTCTGCTTTGCACTCAGGTTCTTGGGCAGGCTACTTGTCTCTAAGCACCATCAGTTTGCCTTCTGTGAAATGGGTGCTTTTGGGTTGCAGTATCAGGGTCAAATATGTGGTTTGGTATTTAGGACTCAGATCTAACCTCTGCTTGTATTTGCTTTGTGGTCTTGAACACTTGTCTCAATCTAGTCCAATGTGTTCTGTGTGTGTGTGTGTGTGTGTGTGGCTGTGGACAGCCAAAGCCGTATGGGAACCTTAAAAGTAGGACATGAGGACAGCAGTACGACTTCCTTGTTAATTCTCCTGCATTTAGTATTGAAAGAGAGAGAGAAAGATTGGGAGGGGGGCATGTTATGATGTGGTATGAGCCACATCTGTGTACATGAAAAAGAGAGGAAGGCTGTGTATGTTATCATCTTCTGGGCTTACCCCATCTCAGATAGCTGCTTTCAATGACATCTTCTATACGTTTAATTCCTTCATCATATTTGTCAGGGTAGACAACAAGATCCGTCCAGTGGGCCTACCTGTCCATCACCTGATATCACAAACTCCACTGCATCCAGGTCTTTTGCGCAGGGTTAACAGGTGACAATCCCCTTTTGGCCCAGCCATGTCTTTACCTGCCCCGCATCCAACATCATATATGATGCCACATGTTTGGACTACTAGTCCAAATAAACACATTTGAATTTTAGCTGCCAATCTTGGGCAGCAGAATGGGATGGCGGCACTCACATGAGCTCCAGTCTCCCACATCACTGCTACATGCCAGAAGGGATAGTGGAAGGGGGCAGGTGGTGGCGAGGCTGGTATGGCACAGATGCAGTCCAGTGCTCCTAAGTGTGAGCTGAGGCGTCGATCCAACAAGCTTAATGTCTCCTCCTTCTTCCTTTTGAAGACTGGGGAAGGCCCAAACATTAGCACGGGCAACGACAAGCCTTTCTGCTCTGGGCAAACAAACAAGAACTTCTGTGAGTGGGCTGGGCTTGTGATATTTGTTCATGTTGGCGCCAGCACCTCTATGTCCTTGGTGCAGGAGTGCAGTTTCAGTATCTGACGTACTCTCAGGCATCTCCCCTGAGGAGTGTCTTTACAGACAGGAATGACGGGAAAAGCTGGCGGCAGCAGCTCTTTAGGAGGTGCCTGACTAGACGTATCCAATATCTCAGGGGGAGGACACCACTCCAACAACCACTTGAAACTTACCCAGGATCCAGCTCCTGACTCTCTTGATCACTGCCCCCCGTCTGTCAGCTGTGCCACCACTTGAGGCTCCAGTTTCACCTCCCTCACCCTACCTGAGCCCTTCCTCAAGTCACCCAGTTTCTCCCACCTTTTCAGTGCAATTATTTGTCCACCTGCTGTAGAACCCAACACAGTTTCTGATTAAAAGAATGAAGCACATTTGTTGGTCATGATAAACCAGAGAACAAAGACTTTCCTAATGGAGATTTATTTCTCCGTGACTTCTTGGAACAAGGAGGTGCCAAAAAGAGCATAAGAGAAGCTGAGAATGACGGACCTGAGCTGACTCAGCCCACAAACAATGGCGGATGGAATTGGCCCTGGAATATCTTCAGACAGGTGTGCTTGTTAATCTGGATTAGAATGGGAATTAGGTCCTTTATCCTTAACCCCTTGTTCCCAAGAGAACAAAGACTTTCCTAATGGGGATTTATTTCTCTGTGACTTCTTGCAACAAGGAGGTGCCAAAAAAGAGCATAAGAGAAGCTGAGAATGACGGACCTGAGCTGACTCAGACCACAAACAATGGCGGATAGAATTGGCCCTGGAATATCTTCGGACAGGTGTGGTTGTTAATCTGGATTAGAATGGGAAATTAGGTCCTTTATCCTTAGCCCCGTGTCCCCAAAGCAGCAACTATTGAATTATTCATTTAGAAAGAGAAGCTATTGATAGCTGAACAGTTTCTGGTTGAAGAAAGAAGTGTTTTAATTGGTTATGATAATCAGGAGAACAACAATTTCTCTAATGGAGATTGGTTTCTCCATGACATTTTAAAAACACAAGGAAGTTGTATTCCAAAGAATCTGGAGGGTGCCATGTTGTGTGTGGGGAGTTGGCCACAGAGGTTGCAGATGCAGGAATAAATGATTCTGAGATCCCTCTTCCTTCCAGGATTGTGAAAATGAAGAATGAGAGCTGCAAAGTACTATAGGGGCTTATGCACTTACAACTGAGGACAAAATACAGGAGCAGAAGGTGTGGCTAATAATACGGACTAGAATGGAAATTACTTTATCCTACTACTAGTCCAAGTAGACATATTTGAATTTTAGCTGCCAACCCCTTTTAAATTATGTTGTGGGCAATAGAATGAGGGCGCTCCAGTCATGTTTCTGGATACCAGGACAGAGAGGAGAAGGGATGACATTGGTGAGGTCAGTGTGGTGCAAATGCACCAGTGCAATCCAGTGTTCCCACCAGGATGTTTGATTGTGCTAACCTTGCCACTGCCTCACCTCTCTTTACCCCAGTTTGCAGCAGGGATCTAGAACCCAACACAGTTTCTGATTAAGAGAAAGAAGCGCATTTATTGGTCATGATAAACCAGAGAATGAAGACTTTCCTAATGGGGATTTATTTCTCTGTGACTTCTTGCAACAAGGAGGTGCCAACAAAGAGCATAAGAGAAGCTGAGAATGACAGACCTGAGCCAACTCAGACCACAAACAATGGCGGATGGAATTGGCGCTGGAATATCTTCGGACAGGTGTGGATGTTAATCTGGATTAGAATGGGAATTAGGTCCATTTTCTTTAACCCCTTGTCAGGGGGGTTGGACTGGGTATATGCTCTACCTCTCATTTAATATGCTCTACCTCTCATTTAAATCGGAACCAGTGATGGCAGTGAATGCCCTGTGTGAATGTCTGGAAGCAGATGGAGGACAGATGGAGATCAATGGATTGAGGATGAATCCCAACAGGACAGAAGTATTATTTTTGGGGGACATGGGGCAGGTGTGGGGGACTCCCTGGTCCTGAATGGGGTAACTGTGCCCCTGAAGGACCTGGTGTGCAGTCATTTTGGAATCACAGTTGTTCATGGAAGTGGAGGTTAATTCTGTGTCCAAGGTGCCTGTTTACCAGCTCCATTTGTTACACTAGCTGAGACCTGCCTGCGCACTGTCTTGCCACAGTGGTACATGCTCTGGTTATCTCCCACTTTGACTACTGCAATGTGCTCTACCTTTGAAGGTGACACAGAAACTACAGCAATCCAGAATGCAGCTGCCAGGACAGTATAACATCGGTTCTGAAAAACCTGCATTGGTTCCCAGTATGTTTCCAAGCACAATTCAAATTGTTGGTGCTGACCATTAATACCCTAAACAGCCCTGTCCTGTCTACCTGAAGGGGCATCTCTGCCCCCATCATTTAGCCTGAACCAGCTTGAGGTCCAGCTCCAAAGGCCCTCTGGTGGTTCCCTCACTGCAAGAAGTGAAGTTACAGGGAACCAGGAAGAGGGCCTTCTCTGTGGAATGCCCCCCACCATCAGATGTCAAAGAATTAAACAACTACGCAACTTTCTTGAAGATATTTGAAGGTAGCCCTGTATCAAGGAGTTTTAATGTCCGATGTTTCACTGTGTTTTTATACAGTGGTACCTCGGGTTAAGAACTTAATTTGTTCCGGAGGTCTGTTATTAACCTGAAACTGTTCTGAACCCGAGGTACCACTTTAGCTAATGGGGCCTCCTGCTGCCGCCGTGCGATTTCTGTTCTCATCCTGAAGCAAAGTTCTTAACCTGAGGTACTATTTCTGGGTTAGCGGAGTCTGTAACCTGAAGCGTCTGTAACCTGAAGTGACTGTAACCCGAGGTACCGCTGTATTCTGTTGGAAGCTGGCCCGAGTGGATGAGGCATCCCAGTCAGATAGGCAGGGTATAAGTAATATTCAAGCTGGTGGCCATCACTGGCTCCTGGGTGTCATGAGCCCTGTGGAGATGTCATGGAAGGGATGGCCAGATCCTGAGGAGAGAGTGAGAGGTTGATGGCTCAGAGGAGGATCCTAACAGGTTGGGGGAGGTGAAATTGGGCCTCCAAAAAATGTCTGAGCTAGAGGAGGGGCCCAGTGATCAAGGGAGTCAGGAGCTGGATCCTGGGAAGAATCCAAGCAGGTTGACAGAGAGGTGTTACACCCCTGTGTTATCAGACACCTCTAGTCATGAACTCCCTAAAGTGTAGCCGCTGCCACCTTCTCCTGTCAACTAGAAAACTCTTCCTTCTGGGGAGGTCCTTACAGTAAGTTGGATACTGAGCCAGCACTGACTCCACCTCCATCTCCCAGCCATGGAGACACCAGTGCCAGCATGAGCAAACCTCACAGGTCCAACTCACTTGGAGGAATTCCCATTTGCTTGCCTAGTCCTGAGATGTGTGTTGCTTTCCGCCCTAAGGGCTATGCTTACCCTGTTTTCAAAAAGAAGAGGGGGTGGGTGTCTCTTCTTGGATAATCTCAGCTCATTCTTAGCCATGTAATTCATCTGCTGTGTTTTTTTTTAACTTTGCCTTCCTACCACTCAGTTTTATGCATTCTGAGTCCAAGTTCAAGTTCATCATCCAGCAGTGAAGTCCAGGACACTGTAGGAGCAAATTCCGTAATGAAAAAGTACTTTCTTTTATCTGCCCTGCATCTGCCAACATTCAGCTTGGCTGCATGTCTACGAGTTCTAGTGTTACCAGAGAGAGAAAGAAATATCTCTCCATACCATGCATAATAATATTATAAACTTCTATCATGCTAACTCTTACTCGCCTTCAGGTTACAGGTTGGTGATTTGAATCCGCTTGACAGTGGTGTGTGTGTGTGTGTATGATGCCTTTAGTCCCTTCCAACTCCTGGGGTCCTGTATCCATTAAGGGTTAGATCTGATATTATTATTATATATATATATACCCGCCCATCTGGCTGGGCTTCCCCAGCCACTCTGGGCGGCTTCCAACCTAATATTAAAATACAGTAATACATCAAACATTAAAAGCTTCCCTAAACAGGGCTGCCTTCAGATGTCTTCTAAAAGTTTGGTAGTTGTTTTTCTCTTTGACATCTGGTGGGAGGGCGTACCACTACCGAGAAGGCCTTCTGCCTGGTTCCCTGTAACTTGGCTTCTCGCAGTGAGGGAACCGCCAGAAGGCCCTCAGCACTGGACCTCAGTGTCCGGGATGAATGATGGGGATGGAGATGCTCCTTCAGGTATACAGGACCAAGGCCGTTTAGGGCTTTAAAGGTCAGCACGAACACTCTGAATTGTGCTCAGAAACGTTCTGGGAGCCAATGCAGATCTCTCAGGACTGGTGTTATGTGGTCTCTGCAGCCACTCCCAGTCCCCAGTCTAGCTGTCGCATTCTGGACTAATTGCAGTTTCTGGGTCACCTTCAAAGGTAGCCCCATGTAGAGCGCAAGCTGTTCTGTTCTAACTAGCCAACTGTAAGATAATGGCCTTAGCTTAAGTACACTCATTAGTATTACCAAAGAAGCTGCTCACTGCCTAGGGCAAATGGATGGGCCTTTCCCTTTCCCACCTGGCTGGTGGTTAGAAGAAGAATGGAAGAGTAGTTGTGTGTGAGCTGAGCAAGAAGGTGGAGAGACAGAGACATGTTTCAGATTCATGTTTGCTTGGTGCTGGGCTCTGGGGCTCACCTGGGAACCTAATGAGGAAGCAAGATCAGTTAGGGAGTTAATGCTGTGAGCCCCTCCCCCTGCCCCATCTTACGCTCTGCTGGCCTTCATTCCAAGGAAACCAAAACCTGGGCAAGCACCCACCCTGGAATGCCTAGAATTGCCCTCCGCTCAGAGATTGAGATAGCATGTAACAGTACAATAGTGATTTCGAACACATTTTGTATAGAGTTGAACCAAGCTGTGGGCAGCGTGTGGCAGCTCCATCAACCTTGGTGCCTGCCAGTAAAAGCAACCTTAGAGGGTGGAACTAGGGGTTGATAAACCCTCTTTTGGGGTGATTTGTGAGTTTGTTTGGGCCCTGGGTGAGAGTGAGTTTGGATGGGTGGAGTCCTGGGTAAGAGTCAGGAAGCTGAGAGGCATTGGGTGGGGAGCTGTGTCAAAAGAAGGGAAGAATAGATTTATTAGTAATTTGTATTAATATTGCATTGTGTATTTTTGTCACATTTGTTGTTGTTTTAGCTTCCTGTATACCTCTTAGACATATTTTTATATATCAAGCAGTATTTGAAATGGCATTTTTAAATCATCATCTATTATGGTATATTGCTAACACTATTTGACAGGGGATTCCGGTTGAGAATGAAGATGATGCTACAGTGAAGCTGGAAGAAGGAGGCGAGAGAGAAAACGAAGGGAGCCATGAGCAAAAGGAAGCTACTCATTTGGAAGTTGCATCTAACAAAAGAGATGGGGGAGCAGAGGGCAATGAATGTAAACAGTCAAGAGTCTCTGAGGTTGGTGTCAAGGAATGTCTGGATGACCCAGAGATGCCTGCTGGGACCACAAACACAACAGAGCCAGCCACAAGAATACCAACAACAGCAGAGGCAACGGCAAGTACCCCTTGCACATCCAAGCAGTGCCAGCCACGCATTAATCCATGGGCCACGTGCGCTCGTGCCACTACAGAGGATGAAAAGAAGTTGTTTGAGGCTCTAACTGAATTTTCTGTGGAGTTCTATAAAGCAGCAATCCTACATGAGAAGCCTGGCTCTAACTTGATCTTTTCGCCCTTCAGTGTCGCAGTGATGCTCTCCAATCTATTGCTGGGTAAGGCCATACATACCTTCAGGTGTGCACATCATCACTTCAGGCTTAAGACCTCTGCATCTGATAATTTTTTTTCCTGCATGGAAATAATCTCTGTGTAGAAAAACAGGCATATATCAAGATGTATAAAGTACAGCATGATTGCTCCTCTGGCAAGGAGCAACTGCAGCGCATGCCAGCCACGTGATTTAATATTATTATTATTTCCCTAAATGGTGTTCCCAGAGCTTCAGCATGTCCTGTCCTTCTCAGCTTCACCTGGTGGACCTCCAGCCCCTCATATATTATCATTTATTCCATTTATCTTCCCCGCTTTCCTCCTTACCTGCTCCATCACTCAAACCAAAAGTGCCAGCGTGTATTACAAAAAGCAACAATGAATGCCTCCGCTCAGCACAGCTTGGCAAACGCTTCCTCGGGTCAGTGACAGGTCAGGGCTAGAGGGGACATAACCAATGGTCAGCACCCCACTTTCCCTTGAGTCACCCAGCTCTCTTCCTGGTCCTGTTGGTGGTGTGGGGCGGGTTGTCACTCCCTCCTTAACAAATTCCTCACTAAATTAAGGGAAGCCATGGCCTATGCACTGACAGATACCTGCTCCTCACAACCCTGTCTTTGCCATCCAGGCACCTGCAATCAAACCAAGGACCGTCTTGAGAGGCTGCTCTTTTATCCTGAAGGATTCACATGTGTCCATAGAGCACTAGAGAGTCTCCAGAAATCAGAGGCCTTGACCTCCGCCAATGCAATGTTTTTCCAACCAGGTGAGTAAACTACCAGGTTCAAGATTCCCATACACCGTCTTTTCCCACGCACTATCTTCTCTCAGGTAAGATCTTATTCACACTGACACTGTGTGTTTCAAAACAGAAAACATCTGTGGAAATTGGTTTTATAGTTGTGGAACATAGCTGAAATGTTCTCCATATTCTCTGTTTATGGATTATAGCTGAATTAAAGGGATGTGGGTGGCTCTGTGGTCTAAACCACTGAGCCTCTTTGACTTGCTGATCAGAAGGTTGGTGATTTGAATCCGCTTGACAGTGGTGAGCTCCCGTTGCTCTGTCCCAGCTTCTGCCAACCTAGCAATTCAAAAGCACACCAGTGCAAATAGATAAATAGGTACCGCTGCAGCAGGAAGGTAAATGGCGTTTCCATGGGCTCTGGCACTTGTCACTGTGTCCTGTTGTTTCCTGTTGGGACGCGGGTAGCGCTGTAGGTAAAACCTCAGTGCCTAGGACTTGCTGATCACAAGGTCGGCGGTTCGAATCCCCGCGGCAGGGTGAGCTCCCGTCGTTTGGTCCCAGCTCCTGCCCACCTAGCAGTTCGAAAGCACCCCTAAGTGCAAGTAGATAAATAGGTACCGCTTTATAGCGGGAAGGTAAACGGCATTTCCATGTGCTGCGCTGGTGCTGGCTCGCCAGAGCAGCTTCGTCACGCTGGCCACGTGACCCGGAAGTGTCTCCAGACAGTGCTGGCTCCCGGCCTCTTGAGCGAGATGAGCGCGCAACCCTAGAGTCGGACATGACTGGCCCGTACGGGCAGGGGTACCTTTACCTTTACCTAAGAAGTCCTCTCAAGATAACCCACAAGAGCAAGAAGTATGTCTCAAGGGAGTATTTTTCTATCTCTGGTTTTTTCTTCATGAGCAGCTCTCCCCTTGGAAAATGATTTCCGCAACCTGACAAGGATGTTCTATAAAACCAAACTGGCTCACCTTACTAATAACAGCAACCAGGATGTGGCGGACATCAACAGTTGGGTGAGCCAAAGTACTAACAAGAAGATCAAGAAGATTGTGAATGAGCTGGATTCTGATGCCAAGATGATACTCCTTAATGCTGTCTACTTCTACTGTAAGTAGGAAGGTTCTAGGGCCTTCTGTCCCCCCAACGTCTGATCCAGAGAGACTGCTCACCCAAAGCCAGTTTGGCTTCCCTACCCTTTGGCACTCAATTCCTGAAACACTGGTCCCCAGGCAGATTCCAGTTATCCCCTATTTCCCCACACCATGGCATGTCTCGAGGTTCCACCGTTATTGAGCTTTTATATCACTTTAAATTTCAAGAGACCTCCCATCGGTTGACTTGTCTCAACAAAAATCGATATATATGATATAGAAATACAAAGCCCACACCCAATACAAGTGTGACTGATGGGAAAGATGATGGGCTACATATAGCCCCCATCTTCTAGGATTCTAAACTGCACAGGGAGCCTGCACTGGTAGAGAGGGCTCCCCACAAGTGGAAGGCAATGAAGCCAGCAACAGGAATATGATGGTTGATGCAGGGCAAATGGCTTATCCGCCCTTATCCCCCACTATGGTTGGCCTTCCACAAAGGATGTAGACATGCTGGGCTCTTGACACCCCTGCAGCCAGAATCCTCACTGTATGCATACCCAAACAAAAATACTAGCTGGAGAGGAAAATGTTATATATATATATATGGGGGGGAGTAGTGTAGATCCTCCCTGCTCCATAACAGTTAGGAACTATGGTGCTTGGAGAGCACAAATCCATTCTGGAAGCAGCCAGTATTTGGCTGGGACAGGCAAGCTGTGACTCTAGTAGGGACAGAACTGTGCTTCATCAATGCCAGGTTGTGAAACGTATAAAGAGGAGTGAGTAGGAAAGTTCAGGGACTTTCTTTAGCATTACCCTTACAGGTGCAAGTTTAGATTGTGGGTTAATTAAATATGAAGTATGGTGTCTTTTTCTTTCAGTCTTCAAAAATGCATAACTTACTCTGCAACCTGACGATAGGGTGGATTCTCATGATACTAGACATGTGGTCATCCAACAAAACTTCTTAGCAGGAAACTTGGGAAAGACAAAAAGTACATAGTTAAGCTGTGGAACTCACTGCCACAAGACATGGGGATGGAATATTTGTGTTTTTGTAGTTTTAACTGTAAACCTCAGTCTGGGGGAAAGCAGCATATAAATGGTACTGGTGGTGGTGGTGATAGCCACTAGGCATAATGCCTTTATGTCGTGCTTGTGAGGCTTCCTGGAGGCCTATGGTTGGCCAATGTGTAATGTGTACTTTTTAGTTGGATTCAAGCAGAGCTCTTCTGGTGTTTATGCCTCAATAAGCTGATCCAAGCTCTTCATCTTTTCAGCCAAGTGGAAGGAAATGTTTCTAGCGAAAGACACAAAGAAGGCAAAATTCTACCGCCCAGGCTTAGCTCCCATCAACGTTCAAATGATGATGAGTAAGAAATACCCAATGGCCTCCTTCATTGACCACAGCCTGCAGGCTAAGGTAATGCCTTTGGGGATTGGGAGAGGCTTACATTTTCAATTTCTAAGACCTGGTTCAGACACTCTAGTAAGGATGGCTTGCAACAAAGAAAGCAATATATTAAAAAATAATTATTAATGCAATGAACATACCTATAGAAGCAAAAACTAGTATCAGCTTGGCTTAATGTTTAGGACTCCCATCCAAGAACCTTGGGAACTGCAGTTCTAAGGTGGTAAAAATTGCCTTCGTTCCTAGCAAAACTACAGTTTTCGTGTTTCTTAAACTGGTTTCACACTTGTTGAAACTTGCAGTGCAGGGATGCTCTTATACCCTCAGCTCTTAAGGCATTCCTGTTCTTTGGTGGTCCCACCAGCTTGGCTATCTTGTGCCTGTCTTGGGTTTCTCCTTGAACAGTTGCTCCTGCTGTTGAATTGGGTCACATCGGTAAAGACTTAGGCTAGTTTGGTTTGTCAATTGCTTCTCGCAGCTGGTGGAAGTCCCATCGCAATTTGTAGAACAGAAAATAAAACACAAAAATACAGTTGAATCAAATAACAATTAAAACAATACAGAACAAACATATTGCAGTCATCCAAAAAGCCACCACAACACAAAACATGCACCCCATATCCAACAGGAGAATGAACACCAAACAGGCTTAGTGTTCCTTATATAAATAACCATTTTATGATGTGTGTGTGTGTGTGTGTGTGTGTTAACTTTACTCTGTTGAGCCCACACGAAACCCTTTCTTCTTTTCCAAATATAAAAGGGGGGGGGGAGGATGAAAAATGGAAAGCAGCAAATTAGAGCTATACCATATTGATCTGAATATAAGCCACAGGTTCTGCCCAATTCTGGTTTGTATAAAACCTAAGTGTGGGATAGCCAGTCTAATATAAGCAACATGCTTAAGTCAATGCATGAAGGGTTTAATGCCATGGTGGAAGCAGTCCTACCAGGTTTCTTCTAGGTCATTTCCCCTTGCCTTGGGAGGAAATAGCTAAGCAAGTCTATTGTCTCTGCTACATGTGAAGAGGTTTGAGCTGGTTGCTCCAGCTTAGTTACATGGCTCACCAGCCAAGCCACTCTTGAGTTTCTATACCAATAATTTAGGAACTTTCACCACTTTGTAACTAAGCTAAGTTTTACTGCCTGTGTGACTTTTCTGAAGCTCATGAATCTGACCTTTGGAGAGTTTGTAAGTAAAGAATTTTTCTTACCTTGCCAAACGTGGTATTTTCCTCTGCTGGGGGGAAAGGGGAACTTTGGGAAGAAACTTTTAAGAGTACATTTTGGAACTCATTTGGAGGGGCATATTTTAAAGGTCCAGCAACCTATATTCCCATGCTTTATTTTGCTTCATATTTTGTGGTTTTAAATATCTGTGGGGGAGTTGCCCCAAACCTGGATCTTGGGTCCATGGGGTCACGAAGAGCCGGACATGACTTAATGACTAAACAACAACAACAACAACTATATACCATATACATATGTATATGGAAACCACACAGATGGCTTACTCTCCAGGTGGTGCAATGGGTCAGAGCATCTGGCTGTTAACTTCAGCCATTTTTGTAAAAGGGTCTCACACCCTTCTCAACAAGTGGTGCTGGTTGGCCAGTGAGTTGTTCATTGTGAGACGAGTTCAGAAGCTGCATCTGGTTTTGTGTGGGGTTTTTTAGATTGTAAAAAGCACTGGACCATACCAGATACTTACAGTACGTAGATATAGTTTCAAAGAGATCTCGTTTTAACAGTGTGGGGAATCTTGTGTTTCGACCAATACAGCATTGGAAAAATGGGGTGCTCCTCTATAGCAGGGTGCATGAGAATATGGGAGAAAGGCAGGTGACTGATGGTGTTTAATTTGCTAGGTTGGCCGACTGCAGCTGTCTAACAACATGAGCCTGGTCATCATCATGCCCCGCTCCATAACTCAAAATCTCACTGAGGTGGAGGAGCGCCTCAGTGCAGTTGTCTTCAAGTCAGTGATGGCCAAGCTGGAGAGCACCCATTTCAAGCCTACCGTGGTCTACCTACCCAGATTCAAGGCGGACACTTCCCAGAACCTCATGAACATAATTGGGGAGATGGGTAAGAAAAATAAAGCGGGAGAGAGGAGAAATGAGCTAAAGGCAAAGAAGCATTGCTCCTTTTCAGCATGAAGGATAGGTTGTGTCAGTGATAGAAAGAAACGCTAACCCCCACACTCCACCACCCTGTCACCAGTATATTTAATTCACTCAAGCCCACGAAGAAGCCTATTTCACAGCATTGTTCACAGAGCAGGACTGGCTGCATGGCTTTAAGTGTCCTCAACTGCAGAGAGATAGTGCTTCTACTCCACTCCTTCTCCCCAAACTAGATTTCTTGGGATAAGAAAAACAGATGGAAGCAGCACTGGGAAAACATGGGTGGTGGTTTACAGGACAATAACCATGTCACCTCCATTAAACATGAGTTCACAGGGCATAGTTATTGCACAATAAATGCCTCAGCTGGAAGCCACCAACCTCAATGTATTCCAGTATTAACAGTATTGTCCTTCTGTCCTTTCTTCTCCCCACAGGCCTGATTTACTACCATTTATTTGCTGTAAAAGAATTGCCGTGCCAACCTATCCGGTGTGGCTAAGCAAAGCACGATGCCTTTTAAAGATTCTTGTGTCTGCTTCTAGATTAGCCAACGTCTTTTCCTCTTGGGGTGTTCTGTGTTTGTGTGTGTGAAATAGTGATGTGGTGCTAATAAAGAAATAAGAGGGGGAAAGTAATAACTGAAGGAAACCAATTCTCTCTCATGTGCGCGCGCGCGCACACACACACACACACACACACACACAGAATATGGCTAATTCAGGAGACATGCATCACTAATTCCCTACCCATGCTAAAACAAGAAGAAATAAATTGGGCTAAACCTGCAAAAGGGAAGCTTTTAATTAATGTTGCTGGGGACTTTTGCTGACTGGAAAATACTTCTAAGTCAACATTATAAGAAGATCTTTTCCTTGGGGAAGGGCACTGCTGGTTAATATAACACTATTGAATGCTATATGGCACCTCCATTTTAATTCTACCTCTAGCTAATTGTGGGGAAAGCATTGCCTTGGAAGTACTATGTTTGCAGGCATGTACAGGGATCTCTTCCCCCGTAGCTCTGCTTTGAAGCCCATTTCCAGCCAAAGGAGAAGAGAGTTCAGGTTTCATCTGATATTATCTTTATGCATTTAATCCAACCTTCTCTTTCAGATTTTGGCTTTTTCTATGATGCCGATCTGTGTGAGATCTCCACGGATAAAGAATTGGCCGTGTCCAGTGCTCACCACAGGGCTGTGCTGGAAATCAGCGAGGAAGGAGTGGAAGCAGCGGCTGCCACAGTTGTCTCCCTAGCACGCACAGCCAATATTTTTGAAGTGTCTCAGCCCTTCCTTGTTGCAGTGATGAGGGATAATGGGTTCCCAGTCTTCATGGGGCGCATCAACAACCCACAGGCAGCATAACGTTCTCCTCCTTGCTCCTGTCAGCTTCTGCCAGACACCCACAGTATTGCCCCTAGTTCAGCCTTCACTGTTTACACATGAAGCCTTGTGCAATTGGCTGTAACATGTTCCTTTGGTATTTCCTCCCATTTTATTCTTTTGCGTTATAATTTTATCCTCCCATTCCTATGCCTTTTTTAAAAAAAGCTGGTTTCCCTCTCCCTTGTCATTTTTCTGTGATTTTTGTTTTGTTTTGTTTTGTTTTTGTCCTTCCTTTGCATCACTGAACAATCCACCTGTTCCCATTTATGTAGCAGGCTGGAAAAGAGGTCACCTCTGTCAAGAGGTTCTCCTTCTCCTTCTCCTCCTTTTCCCCATGTAACCACTGCAACAAACCATTCAGCCTCTTCCATTTCGCCTTCATAAGGAATAAAGCGAAACTATATTGGCTCACGGGACTGTGTTACTGCCATGTCTGAGGCAGAAGTGTGCCTGTGTTGTGTTGCTTTAGGCTGCAAGTGGAGGCTCAGCCAATTAAATGATTCTCCAGACCAAGGAAGGGAACCTACCGCCACTAGCTACATGCCCTCAGCGGATTGTGTCATGGCCTGCATGCCCATAATAGGCAGAGTTGGGGCAAAAAAGGACAACCCAGAGCCAAAAATGGGGGGGGGGAGCCCCTTACGCTTTTCCTTGCTTCAGGAGACAAGGATGTCAGGAGTCAGAGCAAACTTACGGGATGGACCAGAGACTAAGGTCCAAGGTCCACAGTCTAAGGTCAAGAGAACTGCCAGGTCTTGTACCCTCATGTGCCTGTGGTCCTTCAGGCTTGGAAGTGGCTCAGCTATCAGTCTATCAGATATGGTGGCAACTGGAATGCTGTAAGGCTTGACTGGCGTGGTTTGGCCTTGCTGCTACCTAACTCCACCTCTTGCTCCATATAGTTCCCTTCCATGAGTGTTATTTCCTCCTCTGATGAGGACGCGGCAGCTAAAAAAGCCAATGCAATTCTGGGCTGCATCAATAGGAGTATAGCATCTAGATCAAGGGAAGTAATAGTGCCATTGTATTCTGCTCTGGTCAGACCTCACCTGGAGTACTGTGTCCAGTTCTGGGCACCACAGTTCAAGAAGGACACTGACAAACTGTTACAGATGGGTAGCCGTGTTGGTCTGCCATAGTCAAAACAAAACAAAATTCCTTCCAGTAGCACCTTAAAGACCAACTAAGTTAGTTCTTGGTATGAGCTTTCGTGTGCATGCACACTTCTTCAGATACACTGAAACAGAAGTTGCCAGATCCTTCTATATAGTGAGAAGGTGGGGAGGGGTATTACTCAGAGGGGGGTGGGAATGGGTGATTGGCAGATAGCTGTGATGAGCCTGTTGACAACTCTTAACAACTGCAGTAGGTCTTACAGGAAAAAGCAAGGGGTGAGAAGGTGAAAAATGGCTTTGTCATGTATAGTGAGATAAGAATCCAATGCCTTTGTTCAGGCCAGGTGTCTCCATGGTTTTAAGTTTGGTAATGATTTGCAATTCAGCAGCTTCTCTTTCCAGTCTATTTCTGAAATTCCTTTGTAGTAAAACAGCTACTTTGAGATCTTGTATAGAATGTCCTGGGAGACTGAAGTGTTCTCCTACTGGTTTCTCTGTCTTGTGATTCTTGATGTCAGATTTATGTCCGTTTATTCTTTGGCATAAGGTTTGGCCTGTTTGTCCAATATAGAGAGCTGAAGGACACTGTTGGCATTTGATGGCATACACAATGTTAGACGATGAGCAATTAAATAGTCCCGAGATGGTATGTGTGATGTTGTTGGGGCCAGTAATGGTGTTGTCCGGGTGTATGTGGCAGCAAAGTTGGCATCTGGGTTTATTGCAGGCTCTGGTGCCAGTGTCCGTGTTAAGTCTGGTTGTAGTATTATTGTGGGTTAGGAGTTGTTTAAGATTGGGTGGCTGTCTGTAGGCAATGAAAGGTCTTCCTCCCAGAGCTTGAGAAAGAGAACTGTCATTGTCCAGGAGAGGTTGTAGATCTCTGATGATGCGTTGTACTGTTTTAACTTGGGAGCTGTATGTGATGACTAGAGGAGTTCTGTTATTTTCTTTTTTGGGTCTGTCTTGCAGCAAGTTCTCTCTGGGTATCAGTCTGGCTCTGTTGATCTGTTGTCTAACTTCATCTGCTGGGTATTTTAGTTCTAAAAAGGTTTGCTGTAGATCTCTTAGGTGAGAGTCTCTGTCTGTAGAATTGGAACAGATACGGCTGTAACGTAGTGCCTGGCTATAAACAATGGACTGTTTGGTATGTTTGGGATGGTGGCTAGAGGCATGTAGATATGTTTGTCGGTCAGTTGGTTTACGGTATAAGGTGGTGTCTATGCGCCCATCCTGACAAACTGGAACATGTCCAGAGGAGGGCAACCAAAATGGTCAAAGGCCTGGAAACGATGCCTTATGAGGAACGGCTAAGGGAGCTGGGCATGTTTAGCCTGGAGAAGAGGAGGTTAAGGGGTGATATGATAGCGATGTTCAAATATATAAAAGGATGTCATAAAGAGGAGGGAGAAAGGTTGTTTTCTGCTGCTCCAGAGAAGCGGACACAGAGCAATGGATCCAAACTACAAGAAAGAAGATTCCACCTAAACATTAGGAAGAACTTCCTGACAGTAAGAGCTGTTCGACAGTGGAATTTGCTTTCAAGGAGTGTGGTGGAGTCTCCTTCTTTGGAGGTCTTTAAGCAGAGGCTTGACAACCATATGTCAGGAGTGCTCTGATGGTGTTTCCTGCTTGGCAGGGGGTTGGACTCGATGGCCCTTGTGGTCTCTTCCAACTCTATGATTCTATGATGAGGACTCCTGGAGTGGAGAGCATGACTAGTGAGCCACTTGCTCTAGAAAGGGTTGTGAAAATGCAGAGAGGCTTCTTCAGCCTATCTTTCCTAGGCCATCCCTTGTTAATGATGCTAATTTAGAAAGCTTCTCGCATCCCCCCAATTCCTCTCAGAATTAGATGAGTTGTCGTTGGCATCTGTCTATCTCAAGAGAAAATGGAGTGCGCCTCCAATGGCGAAGTCAAACTGCAGTTAGCAGCACCAAAGTGACCTCTACAAAGAGCAAACCTGGGCAGTGTATATGGGGGGCCTTGGCTGCCCAGACAACAAGCCCCACCCCCTTGGCCTTACTGATGTGATCCAAAGGAAAGCAGAGCAATACGTTTGGCACCAGTTTGGCTGCAGGAGTTGCTGGAAAGAAGTGTACAAGGCACCATCCAACCATCTTAGGGACTCTGCCCCTGATTTGTGTAGGCTTTACTCCTTAGCCTTTTCTTCTCCTGGAGATATCCCACAAGGCAGCTGAGGTTGAGGACCAGAGTTTTCCTTCTCCTAGATGGGCTGGCTACCTGACCTGACCTGACCCTCACTTCAAAAAACCTGCCTTCTTGACTGTTGAATCTGCTGTTGGTCTCATCCGCTCAATCTGCCTGGAGCTTTCTTTGCAGGCAGGGGAAGTCCCTAACTCACCAAGGGTTTGAAACCCATCAACTACCTTCATCTGGCTTAGCCGGCCAGTCAAAGGCATTCCCAGTGTGTGGACAGTGTCACATGGTGACAGCTTCTAGGAGCCACAGGTGAGAGCTGAGTGCAGGGTGGAGACCAAAGGTGGACAAATGACCCCAGAATGAAGGGAGCACATATCATTTTCTAATGGAAAAAGTGTTCCTTGTATATTCCTGGAGTCAGACCCATAGAAAAGCATCTGAGTTTATTAAAAAATTTCAGACTCTGACATCACAACTGTATATCTCTTTAAACATACTTCAGTTGATTTATTTATTTATTTTAAAAAAACACTGATATTACACAATGTTCAACTTCATATTATACAAGATATTACAATAAAAATATAATACATTATTAATATTATTATTAATTTATTTTCATCATACATAAATAGGTTAACCAGTTAGTAGCCAATAGGGCCATGCACCGGATTCATGAGGGTAACATAGCCAATTGCAGCATACTGTGGCCTTAATTAACCAATCATTTGTTGACACATACCAAACGTATAACGTGCTCATTGTCTATTGGCAGTAGAAGTTGGTGGCTGAAGATCATTACATGAAATCTGTTAAGCAAATCTGTGGCTTGAAATCGGTTACTTCAAATCCATTGCTTGAAATCCACCGCTTTTAACATTTAACATCTCAGCTTTATGACTAAGAAATTCTACTTTATTTTATTTATAAAAATAACTATAACTCATAAATATACATATATATCTATAATAGTGGTGTGCAATATAATTATATGCCACCAGCTCATTAAAAAAATCATAGTAGTATACAATCAAATCATTAAAGCATCATTAAATTGTAAGCTAAGAATATTAACAACAAATGACCAACAGTGAACCCTCTGAAAATGCTTAGGAAAACAGGCACCGCAGCAGAGATGATGATATCTCCTGGGGTGCTATTTGCCAGTCCTCCACATTCCAAATAAATAAGTTTTTCTCAAGGAGAAACCCACCAAATAAGCAAAGGAAGAGGTGGATTGCAAGACGAATATGCATGGCTAAGGCTTTAACTGCAACCTAGAAAAATATATTTCCAGAGTCGTTTTGCTATCGCCAATCAAAATGTCACAAAATTGTGAGCCAGTGTTTGATTCCACAATGAAAAAGGAGGAGGGGGGAATGAGGAAAAAGCTGGCTTTGTATTGAAGCTTTAACATCTGGTCAAAAATTCATGTTTGTTCTTTAGGGAGTTCTATAGGGAGTGACCATGAAGACTGACTGTACTTCAGAAGGTACCACTAAACTACTGTTGGGTACTGATGACCTTTGGGCATGTGCGTATGTGGACTCTCCTTGCAGGCTATAGATTTTGGGGCTGCAATGATGAGTTTCTGCACTTCAAGATGCATGACTGCACCGCTGCCTCCTGTACACAGACACGCACTTTGAGACCCAGTTTTGTATAGAGTAGTGCTTGTACATAGAACGCCTCCTGCACACACACATAGGCACTGTCCCTCTTCTTGCGAAGAGCCTCACAGCATCTCTACATCCCACCTTCTGAACGAAGGTCAAATCACACATATGGAGGCTGAGGCAATCATGATGTACCTACTCAGTCCATGGTTCGGAGTAGGCACATGAATGTGCCCTTGTCATCTCAGCTGCAGGAAAATTTGAGGTGCTCCAAATACTCCAGCAGCTCCTGGGCGAGGCGGGTTCCTTTAGTGAGCTCGTCCCATTGATCAGTGAAAGTCCAGGAGATTCTGCAGGAATCAGCAGAACATGGGGCTGCAGGCAGCAGCTGGAAATAAAAGCCACGAATAACCTGAGTCAAATGTCAAAGCACGACCATACAAATGCAGCATGTTCATGCAATGGCACATGCAACTGACGTAGGAGAGCATTCCACATAAGGAATGCCAGCTTAAATAAA